ATCAATATATATAAATATTATTATTCAAAAAACTCTAAAAGTCCTCGTGCAGATGGAGCACGTTTTAAATTTTATCTGATCAATTACAAACTAACGCGGGGTAACACAAAATATTGACATTTTTTTGATAACGTGAGAATTCACAGCTTCTGTTGGGATTGAGCCAACTCAACACTAATATGATATTGTCCTCTTTGGGCTGAGTCCACACGGATTTATTTTTGGATATCCTCCAAAATGCCTCATACTAGTAGAGGTCACTTGGAACTTATAAAGTGTGGAATTTTCTTCATAACTTCCGATGTGGTACTTGAATTTGCACCCCAACAATGCTTCCCTGGTAAACCCCGACCGAACCTTATACCCTGCAAACTTAGGCCGTGGCAGGTGAACCTTTAGACGTGAGAGCATTTTCCACTGCTAAAAATTCATTAGAGCCACATGTTTTAATGAATATTCTTTATAATTGTTAATAATATAAAAACAGTGTAACATAATGCTATACTTATATATTAATATTTTTATTTTTATATATTTTTTTATTATCATTCAATATACCGATTTATATTAATTTATATATTTTTATTAGTTATTAGTTATTATTATTCTTATTTATTTAACTTTGTACATATAAATAAAATCACAAACAAAATTCACGATTTTTAAAAAAAAAATTAAATAAATATAAATTAACGGTTCAACGAAAAAAATATAAATATTTAAACTATTTTAAAAGGAATGATAATAGTGTATTCGATAATTGAAAATGAAAAACAACGGTATTATATATTTGTTTATGATAAAATAGTTAGTATTTTTTAAATATTGTAATTATAATAGAAAACACATACTCCCTCCGTCCCATTGAAATGTTATAATTTTCTATTTTAGTCCGTCCAAAAACAACGTTACCATTTCCTAATTTAGTAATTGTACTACCTATCTAACATAATAAATATCATTTCAACTTACATTATATTACACAAATATCATTACTTGACCATACTAATAGGAGTATTTTTTTTATTTTTACTACAATCCAATATAATACTAATATTAAAAAAATTTACATGCAAAAAACAAATGTCACTCTTCCAATGAGACGGAGGGAGTATTTTTAAAAAAAATAAATTGCTAATAATTCGCTAATATATTTCAATTTTAAATTATTATTTTTATTAAATAAGTATATTAGTATAATAAAAAATATTATTATAATTTTTATCACTTATATTAATTATTATAATAATAATATTTTTATAAATTTATCAAAATCTCTCCTTATCAAGAGAAATTTTATACTATACAATTTTTTCATAACTTTTCATTAAAATCCTATAAAATTCATAGACTTTTACAGTCTATGAATTGTTGAATGCCATAGAATTTTAGGACTTTTAAAAGTGTAGATCGAATACTTTCAAATTTTAAAAAACTATGAATTGAACCCATAATTTAAAAGATTTTTAAAAATCTAAATTGAATACATCCTCCTAAATATTATACTCCCTCCGTCCCATAACAAAGTATCAATTTCTCAATTTTAGTTTGTCCATAACAAAGTATCAATTTTCTTTTTTAACTGTACTATCTACCTAACATTAGAAATACCCTTTTAACTTACAATATATTACACAAATGTCATTACTTTTATATCACACATACTAATAAGGTTATTTTAGTCATTTCTACTTTATTTCTACTACATCCCAATATAATACTAATGTTTCTAAAATTACATGCAAAAGACAAATGAATATTTAATTATGGGACGGAGAGAGTATTAGTAACTCGATAAAACTTTCAAATTTACTCTGAAAAATATAAAATCAACATTAAAATACTAGTTCTTTAAATTTCCATGCTCATAAGTTTTTAGCACATTTCTTGTATAGAAATGAATCGATTACTTGAAATGATAGGATTGTAATACATAGATTATTTTAGTAGATTATATGACCGATGGATTAATAAATACAATGTTAACTTTGTGTTATTAAATATTATATAAAGTTATATTATATTTATTTTGTTTGATTATATGATATTATTATTATTATTTTTATCCAAAATACCCTTAATAATTTTATTATATTAAATTATACTAATATGATTTATTTTATATATATTTTTTCTAATTATAATAATATAATATATAATATATTCAAATTTAATTGTGATATTGTAATGATATATATATATATAATTTCATATAATTTGTTATTATTTATTAAAGAGTATTAGTATTATCTTTAAAATTATAAATTAAGTTTTAACAATATATTTTATATCATTCTTATCAATTTATTATTATGATTAAAAATTTAAAAAAATATATTTTAAATAAAATCAAAATATATAAACAAAAAATGTCATTATATTTATATAAAATACTTTTAAAGTGTCTATAAACAAGGGTAATTAGATATTTTATTAAGTAGAATTAAATAATACTATAAGGTTATATTGTATTAATAATTTTACAAATTAGTATTATTGTATCAAACCTTTAATTATATAGGACGTAGGACCTGAATACATCAAAGTAAATACAAAATTAGATTAAATAAAATAGTATTACTATTTTATTTAATCTAATTTTGTATTTAATCGTCTCGTATTCAATCGGATTTAATCCATATTATTGTATCGAACTATATTTCATGCATGTAATATTTTTATAGCAATGAACATTTGTTTTGTGAAATGGTTTAAATGGATTTTTTTTTTTTTTTAATATGAGATAGAAGAAATTGATTAAATAATGTAAAAATAATGAATATGTATAGTATATTAATTTTTTGTTTTTAAAAAAACACGTGTTATTTTGTCAAAAAGAACACACCTATAGAGTTTTAACAAAAATTATTTAGCTCATTTTTTAATGTACGTGGATAGAGATGACAACGAGATAGGTTTAAAACGGATTTTGTAGGCCCCAAAACTCGTCTCACTCCCCTCACCCCATAATCTATTCTGCCTTGAACTTATTTTATTCGAGATCAACCTGAAAAACCCATTTTATTTTGTAAAATATATTTATATAATTTTTTTATTATTTAATAGATTATATATTAAAATATAAATAAATACTTTATGCACATATTAAATATTATGTATTTAAAATTAAAAAGCCTCAATAACAAAAATAGTAATTTCAAATAATACAAATTATTATAAAATTAATTATATAGTATTAATTCTATAATTATTATACTAACATGATTCAAGATGGAATGAGTTCGAAACAAGTTTTTTTTTTTTTTTTATTAAACTCATAATTCGTCTCGTATTCAATCGGATTTAAAACCTCAGGATTAATAACTCGATCTGATTATAAAATTTTGACACTACAAGAAAAAATTATTTTTGTAACAAAACTTTTTTGTCTCTAAATCTATTTTTTCCGTTACTAATGACATTAGAGACGGAATTAGGAACGGAATTACGTTAGCTACGTGAACTTTAGGGACGGAATTCCGTTACAAATATATTATTTTTTTTGTAGTGTGAATTCAAACCCGCCACATTAACACCGGAGCTGAGGCAAGATCTATCGCAATTGTCATTCGTATACCTATGTACCTGGATTTGCATATGCCCATGGAATCGAATAAATTCGACTAATTGTATCTCTCTTTGGCTAAGATATAAAAAATTTATAAATATGTTCATTTGACAATTTCTTTCTATTATTTAATTCTTATTATTTTTTTACAAAAATATACTCTCTTCGTCTCATATCTATATATCAATTTATTTTTTACACGGGGTTTTAAAAATATTAGTATTATATTGGGATAAAGTAGAAATAAAGGTAAAAAGACTAAATTAACCATATTAGTATCGTATGATATAAAGGTAATGACATTTGTGTAATATATTGTAAATATTTGTAATGTTAGGTAAATAGTACAATTACTGAAAAAAAAAAAATAAAATTGATACTTTGTTACGAGACGGACCAAAATGAAAAAATGGATAGGTATTTTCTTTTATTTATAAATATTACATTTAAACTCTTATTTCGAATGAAAAACTTATATTTTTATAAATAAAATAACAATAAAATTCTGAACTAAACAAAGAAGCTCTATATATGTGGCTAAGATATCAAAATCAATGTTCATTTGATAATTTCTTTTTCATTTTTAAATATACATTCAATTTTATTTTTTTAATTTGTTGTAAAAAATAAATTATTTTTCTCATAAGCATAAAGTTCAAACTATTATACCAAAATTAAAATAAAAAGTAAATATAATTCCAACTAAACACACAAGCACTTCTTCATAGATTTGGCAATTTTGGGTCGGCTCGGCTCAAACCGTGTTGGGCTGGGCTTAGCCGCATTTTCTATTTTTAAAACTTTTTGCACAATTTGTTTTTATTAAAAATAGATTATTCCCTATTAGTTAAATAAACAAAATTATGATATATAAAAAAAAAAATTTATTGATAATTAAAAGTTTAACATTAAATATATAATTACTTATATTTTATAATATATTTAAAAAATATTTAGATTAAAAATTTTTTATTAATCATACCGGGCTAGACACGATTTGATTTTCAGAGACCCAAGCACGGCCCGGAATTTCAACCATGCTTGGCTAACCCGGGCTTATTTTTGGGGCCCAAGCCGTACTCGGATCGAATTTTCGGACCGTATTTATATTAGCTAGCTACAATCTCTCATCTCTCAATATATATATATATATTTAAATAATAATAATAATAATAAAATAAATTATATGAAAAGAGTGGGGAGATATTGCATGGCAGACAGAGAGACATAGAGGACTATGCACGGTGGGCACCCATTCATGGAAAAAGCAAAGATTAGTTATAAGTTGTTGCTATATTTTATAAATATTAATTATTTCAAAGGCCCCATCTCATTTAAAAATATTCAATATATGTACCATAGTATACTTTTGAATTTTTTAAAATTATATATTATAGTAAAGCAAGGAAACAAAATGATAATGAAAGGCAGCAACTTTAATTAAAATAAAGCCATCTCCTGAATAATGATTGCTGCTACACAGCACCATAATCTCTACAAAGATTCACTAATCTCTACCTAAATATATTTATAAATATAAATATATAAATATTATATATTCTCCATCACATAAAAGCAATAAAAATAAAATAAAAATATACATATATATGCAAATCATAGCAATTTCTCCACCAATTGGAGAAAATCTTGCATTGTGAAGCCTCCCATTTGATGTATTCTATGGGGACAAATTAGACTAACTATACTACAAAAAAAATAATTCAAAGTCTTCATCCCAAATCAAGAGGCTAAAGGGATACACACATTCTCTCTCTTACCCTCTTTCTCACTCTAAAAATAGGGTTAAAGATCCTTAGTTTCTAAGAAACACTAATAAGAATATGAGCAAGCTTTAATTGGTAGGCATAATTGCCCTCCAAGAATTGGAGATGGTCATCACTTTTAAGCATGGCAAAAGGATGGATTTTGAGTGCTATGACTAAAAATTAAAGAGGGGTTGAGGGGGGGGGGGGGGAGGAGGGTGGTAGTGAAGAAGAATTGGCTTAGATGTTGGATGGTGAGCAAACTTTTTGGTGTTTGGAATTTGGTGAAGGATCTAAGCTTTCCATACTAACCATAGATCTCTTGTTAGAAAATGAACCATTAGGACTAATGAGACAAGAATCTTGATGCAAGATTTTCATTTTCGGGGACGAAATTGTGACCGGAGGGATGTCGATGGAGTTGAGTTGTGGCGGCGGATGTTGCCATTGAGGGAGAGGTCCGGCCAAAAGAAGCGTTTGAAGAAGTGGTCCGGCCTCCATTACCGCTTGCAAGAACTTGCCCTTATCGGGCAATGGCTTTGAGAGCGTTATCTTGTCAGCTATGTCCGAAAAAGACAATCCCTGAGCTGGCGTTGATGGCAGCGGCAGAGTGTCCTTGCAACCTGATAATGCAATAGTGATGTTGTTGTTGTTGTCGTCGCAATCAGAGGGCGACGAGTCAATATTGTCGTCTTGATTGCTAGTGGTTGTGTTGCTTGAGACGGGGCATTCTTGTTTGGATGAATGTGTTTGAATTTGCACTTGTTGGTAAAGCACTTGCTTTTCCATGACAAGTTCTTGACATTTTGCTTGGAACTCGTCCCTCTCTTCTATTATCTTCGATAACAAACATTTTAGTTGTACTATTTCATCATCTTTTCTTGAAATCTCTTCGTGAGCCGAGACAATGGATGTTTCGAGCTCCAAAGTTGAGTACAAGAGTGAGTGTTTCAACTCGGCAATATCCTAACCAAAGATCAAAAAAAAACATACGTACATTACAAACAATTCGACTTTAGAAAACTCTAGAAAAGATAAAAAGAACACTGAAATCGAAATAACTTAAGTGAAACCATACATACCTCTTCTTGATAGTAGTAAGACCATCCAAGAGGGCTACATTGCTCTTCCATAATTTGGTGAAGCATTTTTGTGTATCAAAACAAAGGGAGAAATGTTAATGAGAGATGGTTGTCCACTTTCTTACAAGAGCTTTGCCTTCTTTTTAATCCTTTAAGACATTTATGGTTGGAGAGGAACAAAAAGGGGACCATATAAAATAAAATAAATGAAAATAAAATAAAATTTTAAAATGAAAAAGCATAGAAAGGGCAGGTGTGGCTAGTGGTTTAAACACCTTTATACTAATAGATTCTTAGTACACACAATATGGGCCCATTCAATTCTTGAATATATGCAAAAGATTGTGAGGTTTGTGTGGGAATATGAATAAATGAATCCATCGAATTAATTAAATAAAGTTGGAGTCTTGTGTGCCCTTTCTTTATTATTATTATTATTATTTATTATGATTTGAGAATCTACTCTCGTTATTTTTCGAGTGCGTTCTGAATTAATGTTCCGGTCGAACCTAATAGCCTGCAAACTAGTCCGCAAGTCACGCCAGGCTATCTCCAAATTATTATTATTTGGGTTGTGTGTGCGAATTGTATTTTAAGTGTTATTAGTGTGTTTGGTAATACTATCTCGGTCCGACTATAAGGATCTCATTTATTTTTTGCGGGTTGATTTTTGAATATTAATTATTATATCAAACGTAGTACAAATTAAGAAAAAATAGCAAAAATACTTATCAAACGTAGTACAAATTAAGAAAATATAGCAAAAATACTTTCATTAGTGTCTTATAATACCAAGAGAATGACATTTGTACAAAAAATATATATACAAATATAAGAATACTTTTAATATTATTTACAATGAAACAGAAGATAAATGTGATCTTTAGAAGCGGACGAATGAAGTATATAATATGCATATATATGAATTGAATTATTATTTTTTATGAACAGATAAAATATATATTATATGTATTGTATTAATATATATATATATTGTATTCTTTATAATATTTATAGAAAGTTCTTTCACCCAAAAACATAAAGTCAACCAACTCATTTATATAAGAATTTTTAAAATTTTGAATTTTGAAAATTTTTGAAAATAGTAAAAATGAGTTTGTTTTGATATTCTGGTATTTTTAAAAGTAAAATTTTTAATAATTATTTGTTACGATATAAATAGATATTCGATAAACCAATTTATTCATCTTTCAAAAATTTTGACAGGAATATTTATATAAAATAAAATTTATATGTGTGTGGTTTTTTGAAAATAAAAATAAAAATATACCCATTTTTCAAAAAAATTAATATATTACACACCTTTATTATTGTTATAGTACATACACAATTTATATATCTTATACAAAAAAATATCTCTTAAAATTATTTCACAAAATAAACACACAAATATTAATGCTAAAATTTCTAAAATTGTGTGTATGGATTAAATAGTAAAATTTTAAACACAAATGGTGTGTTTGTTTAATGAAATTGTTCAAGAGATTTATTTTTTTATTTTTTATACTAGATATAAAGAATTATGTAAATAATAGTGTTAAAATAATTAATTTGTGTAATATATGAATTTTTTGGAAAAAAATGTATTTTTTTCCAATTGTCAATTCTCTCTCTCTCTCTCTCTTATCATAAAAATGAATTTTGCAATAAATTTTCTATATAGAAAGAACTTCATGATTTATGTTAGGAGGTTGTTTGTTGATCTGAATTACTCAGTAGGATAGTAACACCTTAAATATTACTCCCTCCCTCTGTCCCATATAATATATGTGTATTACTGTAGACACGGGAATTTAGGTAAAGTATAATTAATAAGTAATTAAAAAATGTATTAGTAAAAATAATAATTATTTAATAAAAATAATTATATATTAAGATTAAGATAACTAAATAGTTTAATTAAGATTAAAAGAAAATTAAATTTTAAATTTTAAAATATGATTAAAGTATATAATTAATTTTCAAAAAAAGAAAGGACAAATTATGTGGGACGGACGAAAATATAAAATAGTGACAAATTATGTGGAACGGATGGAGTAACAGATAATATATATTATAAATCAACAAGACAATATTAGTATTTATATAATACAAATGTGATACGAACTAACATTACATTACAATTTGTTTCATGATGAAAATTAGAGTAATTAAAACTTATACTAGCTCCGTCCGGTTTTAAGGGTCTTATTTTTTTTTTGCATGTTGATTTTTTAATATTAATTACTCTCTCCGTTCAGCTAGAAAGTATACATATTTTTATTTTGGGACGTCCAATTACAAAGTAAATATTCCATTAAATACTTCACTTTTTTCCACAAATACCCTTACTTTACATTATATCATTACTTTTACACCAAAAAGCAAGGACAAAAAATGTCATTTTACTACTTTTAACTACCCCACTATAATTAAAATACTATTATTTCTTAAACACCGCGCCAAAAGTAAATGTTTATTTTGTGTGTGGACGGAGGGAGTATTATATAAAAATATAGTACAAATTAAAAAAAATTGCAAAAATACTTTCATTAATGTCTTGTAATACTAATAGAAAGATATTTGTACAAAAAATTATACAAATATATAAATATTTTTAATGTTAAATACAATGATACAAAAGTTAAATATGACCTTAGAATCATACGAATGAAGTATAATTTATTAGTTTGTACCTTTGTACTCCCTCTGTCCCACATAATTTGTCCCTATTTTTTATTTTCGTCCGTCCCACATAATTTGTCCTTTCTATTTTTGGAAATATAATTATGCACTTTAATCGCATTTTAAATTTTAAATTTTATAATTTTCTTAATTTTAATTAAACTATTTACTTATCTTAATCTTAATCTACAATTATTTTTACTAAATAATAATTATTTTTACTAATACACTTCTTAATTATTTATTAATTATACTTTACCTAAATTATCGTGTCTATAGTAATGCACCCATATTACATGGGACGGAGGCAGTGACGGATTTAGAAATTTGAATTTGGTGGGTCGATAAATTAATATAATTAAATTAAAATAAAAATAAATCAATCAATAAACAAAAATTTATAATAGAAAAACACGAAACTTCAAATTAACAATCATTTATACATTAAAATAGTTACAAGTGTTCACGACGAGATCTTATATTTTGGTATCGGCTGACAATAACATCTATACTAACTTTCGTAAATACATTTCTTTCTAGGAAAGTAACGAAACAATCATTTAATAATTACTCTTCCATGTTGTTCTGTCATTTTTTCTTGATGATAGTTATAATTAAAAATGATCTTTCCACGTTTGCCGTTGCTATTTTTCTTTGTCTCAACAAGTTTTATAGAAAGTTTATTTAAATTCTTCAAATCTTAAGATATTTCATCACATTGAACATCAGTAATGAAATTACCTAATAATAATTCCAAAATTATCAATTTTATTTTTGACAATTCTGTAGAATATAATTATGCAAGTAGTTGCAATATCTTTTTATTAAAAGAGGAAAGACAATTTGAGGGAAAAAAAATAAGATATCAATTATTCTTTTGGTGGTCTTGTTGAATACACAAACCGGCACTAATTCATGAAATAAAAATAGAACTAATACTTATGGATACATCTGTAATTTAGTGATAATTAGTATTATTTTTAATTTTTTTTTGGTGGGTCAATTGACCCCACCTTGCCTAATACTGCATCCGCCGCTGGACGGAGGAAGTATAATTTATTAGTTTGTTTGTCTGTTTCTTGTATATTAATTCAATTTGGATCGAGAATCCCATTCACATGAAATACAGTGAATGTTTCGATTGGAGTTCTAGTATTTAATATCTTTTAAAAAATTATTAAATTAAATATTTATTTATTATTATTTATATTACATTAATTATCATTTTACTTATGTTAATTTGACTGAATTAATATATATATATATAAGAAAAATAATACATATTTAATCGCAGATGATAATACAATATAGTGTAATCTTTGATAGTATTTTTTTTTAATTTAAATTTAAATAATAATTTGATTTAATGCTTTGAAAGAAAAAAATAAATAAATAATTTAAAAATTAAAATCTAAAAACAGAACAAAACCCCCCAAGAAACATATATCATCGAACAACCTTTGCTCTGTGGCCTTCTTTTTTTTTTTTTTTTTTTTTTTTTTCTTATTTTTCATTTTTATTGTATTTTATTTTATTTTATTTTGGTTATATTTACTAGAGTGTTTTCCCCCAAAAATTTAACAATTTAATCTCCAAAATTTATTCTAAAACTAAATATTTAAGCACTAATTTCATATTCAAGTTGTAATTTGAAATTTATTTAAAATTGAACATTGATTTGAATTTTTATTTAAATAGTATTTTAATATAATATTTTATAATAAAAATGAAAATAAAATTACCACAAAACAAAGCCCTTGTTTTATTGTCTCCATTTTGTTTCTTTTTATCTTTTGTGTATTCTTTTTTCACTTTTATTTGTAGCACTATTTTTTATTTTTTTATTTTCTTGTTTACCCATATTTGTGTATTAATGCAGAATATTAAAGGGCATTTATATATTTATTTTTTTTATTTGATACCTTAATTTATTTTTTATGTATATATTTTTATTTCTAATATGCAATTGTGTCAACTAGGAGTAGGGGCCATTCATATTATGTGCTTTTATCTCATTCCCATTTGCCCATTGGGTAATCTAAAAAAATATAGTATTCTTTTTGTTCCATTAAAAAGATATGAAATTTAATATTTATTTTTATTCACAATATATTATTTCAAATACATATTTCTTTATAGTATAATGACTTTTGAATTTCAAATGCACAAATAAAAATTGTTTTATAAAAAGGTTTGTTTGGTTTGCATGAAAACTCAATTTTTACTATACAACTAATGCCATTCTCAATGAACCAAAAATCCAACAAAAAAGATCGAATACAAATACAAACCAAACAAACAATAGTAAATATTCAAGAATTTTTTTTTTTAGTCAACAATTTTTTTTTATTATTATCATTATTGTTATTATTATTTATTTTTTATGGGTAAATTATTTTTATAGTCTCGTATCTAACCCACTTTATTATTTTAGGATTTTAAGTGGACCATGTTTGAAAATAGTCTCATAAGTAAA